CGGCATAAACACAGCCTTTACTAATTATGCACTAAGAACAGCTTTTTTTTCCATTTCTACCTGAAATTATAAATGAGTAAGGAAAGACTTTTGAAAATAGTTACAAAATATTACAGCCATTTAGAGTGCAGTACCTCTTAATCTCTTTGCATAGGTTAAAACTAGTATTGCCTTGAAAAGTGAGTTCTAAAATAAAATATGATTGAAAAATATGTCATCACATCCTATTGGAACACTTCAAAGTGTAGTAAATGCAGGAAAACTTTGGCTTGTTTTTTTGGGTATGTTCCTCTCCGTCCTTTCCTTCCTTTCAAATCATTCTCTCAAGAAAGAGAAAAGTATTACTTGCATGTCAGCTAGCATTACATGAAGAGAGCTACTCCAGTTTCTTTTCAGAAGGAGAAAAATCAGCTTAAACATTAGACTATCAGCTTCCTGAAGGGCAGAAAGAAAGAAAAAAACCACAAAGAAAAACAAACCCAAGAGAATGATTTTCCATACTTTTATGTATATTGTTTAAAACAGGGTATTTTTCGGTTAAGGGATGAAGTCCTACCCGGGACGTATTTTCCCTTCCCTCAAGTCCCCAGAAGTAACAACAACAAAATCTAGCTTTTCCTTCTTGATGTTGCCATTATTGCAGTCTGCTTATGCTTTGTCTTCTTGAAGAAATAAATAATGAAACCTTTGCAAAAGGAAAATCAGTCACAGCTTAGATAAATAGTATCTATAAATATTATCTCAGTGGTAACTATATAATACTCCAAGTGCATCACTGAACAGATTAATGTGATGAAAGAGATCTTTTGTGTTACATATTTTACTCAGTTAAATGTTTATGTTCTCTTTCAAGTGAAAACTTAACAATTCCCAAAAGAGCAACAATAAGCTTGAAAAATCAGGTTAGACGTCAGCAGCCGACTATTAATAATATTCTGGGCCAATATTTGTTTGCCCGGGGCAGGCAGTGTCCATGATCAGCATTCATCTTTCATCTTCCTCAACTGGGCTGTCTGGCAGGTGCTGGGTGGGGTGAACACCGAGGGGTCAGCAATGCCCAACTGTAGATCGAAAAAGCGAGTGGAGGTTGTCACGCTGTAGTTCTTCGTGTAGGTTTCCTGTACTGGGTAACAGTCTTTGACTGTGTAAACGCCGACCCAGGATTCCACTGTAACCAAGCAGAAATGTGACCACTTTAGATGACAAGAATGAACGAATGTGTTGCGATGATGTCAGTCAAAAAAATGGCCATTCTTCAAGCAAAGCCTATAGGCTGTAACTTCCCATAGTTCTGTCGATATGCATGGCAACGCCAAGATAGTTCACAAAACTGGTATAATTTAGACACCACAGTGATCTTAAACCTGAACACGTTGGTATCAAGCACATTTCAAATCATGATACCGTCACGGCATCGATATGTCACCTTTCAAATATACCTCTACTGAAGGACCGTCACTTCTGGTTAGTCCCAAATTTACTTCTGTTCTGCACAAGTCTCATTCCTCTTATCTCTCATGCCACTTTCATGTCAGCACTTACTCACTTCACCAGTAAAGCAATGAAATGCTCTGTTTTCCCAGAAGGTAAGTTTTGGTGCCACCAGCTTGGGTAGCATAGGGACATTTCACCTTACAGTCTGTTCCTTACAAACCGAAAGATGTGATTACTGAAAACTTGTGGTCCATTTCACAATGTTGGCCCTCAACACGGCCTTTGACACTCTGAAACACTTAGTCCCCCCAACTATGCGCCACATCCGATGCCTTCCTGTGCACAGGAAGTTCTGCACTCACGCACCCAAGGGAGCGCTTTGCCCTCTGCTGTGGTGAGGGCTCCTTCGCACCAGAACTGACAATAGCATCTTGCTTCCGCAGCTTTCGGACCTCTAAAATCTTAGCTGTCATTCTTACACTGACGATACTCACCACATCTCTGATCCAAATAAACATGACCTTGCTTCACCTTTTTCCATCTTACTGCCCTACACACAGAGGGTTTGTCTCGGAAGAAGAGGAACATTCCCAAACACAACTCCAGTGCCTCTATCTCTTCCTTTAATTTGTTCCTTCTGTTCACCACAGAACGTAACAGAAAACCTGTATCTTCGTTATCATGTTCATTTTTTTAATTCCTATTCCTCTTAAATATTTCCACCCGTTGATTAACTATTTCAAGACTACACTTAATGCTGATCTCCTCCACATACGTGATGTAGCAACTCTGTTCCTTTTTTAAACTTCAGCTTAATTCCACAACATGCTTATCTCAGAGTGTTCTCTTGCTCTCTTCCCGCCTTGTCCTCTGCCATCACCTCTACTTTCACCACTAATCTATTTCTGCAGTCGGTACCATTGAGGTGGTTTCCCTTGAACACCCTTCATTTTTAAAACCTCACTTTTAAATTTCTTTTATTTATCCCATGCATCTCTTCTGTGATCTTTCATTATTCCTTCCATCATACACCACTTCATCCAGCTGGTTCATGTATTTCAGTTCTCTTGATAATAGAAACTCAGGAGGTTAAAATACAAAATTACCTACTGTGTTCATAAATCAGTTCCTCTGAATGTCGCCTATTTTTCTCTGACTTGGCAGCTATCAAACATACATTCTTTCTGTCCTTATAGTATTGTGTAATATGCTGCACCACAATCACATTATTGGATATAGATAAGCTATGATATGAAACACACATACAGTATCTAAAAAAAGAGTGGAAAGCTGAGCAATATTTGAACATACCTCTCCAAGGCACCCTAGTATACCAAAACCTTTCTGGCCTCAGTGAGTTTGGGCTTGAGTATCCAGAAATGGAGGATTCTTTCCCTCAACAAGTCTTCTATCAGAATTTTGAATTAAAAAATACCGTAAAATATAATGTTAATTAGGTAGCCTGTATCTCCACTGAAACCTTCATAGTTTTAACAAGAATTACGATTTTTAGAACCCAAGCCAAAACTATCTGAAAGGTGGATGGATAGGCAACTTTAAGACATTATTTTTCAGAATGATCATACAGAAAAGCACTGGAGATGATATAAAATACTACAGGATAAAGATCACACATCATTAACTGAAGGTATCTGGATATTAAGTTCCATAAAAGTTCCAAAAATACTGGATCTGAAAAACAAAATTCTTGGAGTGAGTGATAATTTGCCTCTTGTAGAATACCAGAGGATATGTTGACCTAGTTACAGAGGTCTAACAATCTTACTCTTCATTTTCTCCTTGATTCTTTCTACTTTTATTCAAGAAAGAAATATTTTCCCCTGGCTAAATGCTCAGGTTCATAACCAGCCTATATATTAGGTGTCTATAATCGTAAGTATTGCATTAGCTGAATAATGCCACAAATTTCCTGGGGGTTTTAAAATTATTTTTATAGTTGTCTGGGTCATGAGTAAACCATAGATGACATTGAAGCCAATGTGCTAATAAATTGCCATGCATCCAAAACCTAACATACTGTACCTTGGAAAGTTCAGCCTACTTTCTTTTATGATGCAGGTGTTCAGCTGCCAAATGCAGAACTAAGCCTCGTGCGCAGATGTTTCTTACTAGTGTGCTGGATAACAAAACTTAGGTGCATATTAACAATGCCCATTGCTGCGGAACCATGTATTGGATGTATTCTATGATAACATTCAATAGTAGTGTGTAGACACACGCTGACACCTGCTTTGTTTCTTTTATGCCTTTTAGCAGAAGTATGATACGTGCTAGTTTGAATATGCCCCTAATTATATTGCCACTTCCTCTCTAGATAAATTTTGGATATAAGCTGCTGGATTCAGATGCAAAATGATGCTGTTCCATGCCAAAATCTGTATGATACAGACTAAAAGGCAGTAAATTGCCTTGGACATATTGGTTCCTGATGAGATATGAAACATTTTCTTAATAAAATGCATTGATAATAAAATTATAAGCTGTGCATGGGGTATATTTATTATTTCTTCCAGCAACCTTTATAGAAATATGGAAGGATGGGGTGAAACATGAACAATTGTATTTTTCCCTGAGCAGCACAGACAATGATTATTATGAAGATTAAACAAAAGCATGCACTTACATTTCCTGGCTGGTTTTCTGTCAGACCACTCCTGTACCATAATTTCATCTCCAGGGCCCCCGATGTAGTACTGATCTTCATAAGTTGAATTGGCAGGAATATCATATGGATCCCATGGCTCTGTCAGAGCAATCTTCGAGCAAAGCTTTGTAACTTGTTCGATCTGAAACATCACTGCGTCTTTATAGAGCAATATATACTCAAAGAATCTGAAACATTAAAAAAAACAGTTAATATATATTGTCTTTTCCTATACTAAGCAAGGAGCATTGCTGATAAGTAAGCTTGCCTTTGACTTCTCACTATAAGACCATTTTCACTTGCATTAAACTTTGCCAAATTTTGAGAAAGGCTAACCAGTTGGGCCGAAATTTCCCATGCTGAAAGTTTGCCTCGACTGACTCTTTCCAAAATAAATAAATCAGGCTGAGCTGGTTCAGCCATTTCTGAGAACAACAGAACAACTTTTCTGAGAACAACTGAGAGAAAAACATGTTATTATTCCTAGTTTTGTTTTGTTTTTTAATAACTGTTTCATTAAAAAGCTCTAGTGCCTCCATGTTTTGGAGAAAGGACTTGAAATTTGGCAGGGGAAAAGTTTTTATTAAAAGTTGCCCAGATTTGGCTAAGTTACACACCTTTGAAAAAATCTGCTTGCATAGGCTAGATAGATTCAATTCCCCACCAATGTGGCAGAGCCTTTCTCTGTGCTGGTTAGATGTGCTATCTGCCATCCTCACCAAAGTTCCTCCATGGCAACCCATGCATAGCATAGTGGGACATGCCAGTGAAGGGGGAAACACATGGTCCCAAGTGCAGACCTGAGAGGCTCTCTCTCCTAAAGGCAAAGTTTCTCTCTGGAAGCCACCAGACTGAAGGAATTAGTGAAAGGAGAAAGCAGAGGAGCAAAATAATAAGGAAGAGATAAGGAGAGGTGTGGAGATCAATGAGCTTGAGAGGCCAGAAGGTGAGGTCAACAAAATGGATAGTTAATAAGGATTTAAAAACAATCTTCTATAGAGTATAAAGTGACTAAGCCCTGCTCTGAGGAGAGATGATAAACCTCTTCATGGGCATCTAGTTACTAGTTATAGCAGTTGTATCTGTGACAAACACTGTGACTTTGCTTGCATATCTATAAAAAAGAGGTGGTATGATCCTTACCTTATAACTGGGGACAGAAACAGAGAGAAACAAAAATTAAAATTATCAAAAGTATCAGCTGATTTTGAATATGCAGCCAGTAAGAAACACCAGAGGCCAACCTTCTCCACAGTACTTAGCATTATCAATCAGAGTCAGGGCAACCCCCGGTATCAAAGCAGGCTGGGGGTGAAGAGATTGAGAACAGCCCTGCCGAGAAGGACTTGGGGGTGCTGGTGGACGAAAAGCTGGACATGAGCCAGCAATGTGCGCTCACAGCCTAGAAGGCCAACCATATCCTGGGCTGCATCCAAAGCAGCGTGGCCAGCAGGTCGAGGGAGGTGATTCTGCCCCTCTGCTCTGCTCTGGTGAGACCCCACCTGGAGTCCTGCATCCAGGTCTGGAGCCCTCAGCACAGGAAAGACATGGACCTGTTGGAGAGGGTCCAGGAGAGGGCCACAGAAATGATCAGAGGGATGAAATACCCCTCTCCTGTGAGGACAGGCTGAGAGAGTTGGCGTTGTTCAGCCTTGAGAAGAGAAGTCTCTGGGGAAACCTTCTTGCAGCCTTCCAGTACTTAAAGGAACTTCTAAGAAAAGTGGGGACAGAGTTTTTAGCAGGGCCTGTTGCAGTAGGACAAGGGGTAATGGTTTTAATCTAAAAGAGGGCAGATTTAGACTAGATATAAGGAAGAAATTTTTCACTATGAGGGTGGTGAAACACTGGCACAGGTTGCCCAGAGAGGTGGTAGATGCCCCATCCCTGGCAACAATCAGTACTTAAAGGAACTTCTAAGAAAAGTGGGGACAGAGTTTTTAGCAGGGCCTGTTGCAGTAGGACAAGGGGTAATGGTTTTAATCTAAAAGAGGGCAGATTTAGACTAGATATAAGGAAGAAATTTTTCACTATGAGGGTGGTGAAACACTGGCACAGGTTGCCCAGAGAGGTGGTAGATGCCCCATCCCTGGCAACAATCCAGGTCAGGCTGGATGGGACTCTAAGCAACCTGGTCTAGGTGAAGATGTCCCTGCTCATTGCAGGAGGGGTTGGACTAGATGACCTTTAAAGGTCCCTTCCAACCCAAACTATTCTATGATTCTATATGAGTTTTTCAAAGCACAACTAAAAGCATCCTCATGTGTACGCTGTACCTTTCGCAAAGGAGAGCCAGGAGTCACTCTCTAAACCTCCCAAAACTGTGCACTCATTATTAGAGGCTCCCTGTGAATCTCTCAGCTCAAGTGTTTGGCTACAGTCTACCATTATGCAGTGACTCTAGAGAAAAGGAAGGGATGGTATTAATTCCCTCAAACAGCTTCATCTTGCCTATCTGTAATAGTGTTTCTTCCCATCTGTAATTCCTTGCTTCCCTCATGATGCTGCCTCCATTTCCTGCAAAAAAAAAAAAAGTCTTGGGTGTCCTTTGGACAGTGGCATCTTCCACTTCACAAACCTGATGCTAGCCCCTAACAGTTTTCGCCATGTGCTGTCAGCAAGATAGGAAGCTGGTGGAAAACAGTCATAATCCTTGAAGAGATGATGCAGAAAAGCAAGAGGGGACCTTCTCTGTAGTATTTTCCAACTCCTGCATGTTTCTCTTTTTAGTCTTTACAGTCTTTTGGGGAGGATGTAAAGTTTACATAAAATAGGGCTGACAACAAAACAATTTATGGTTTTAATTGTTGCACTATACAGTTGCATCAGACAGGAATCACTTCACCCGTCCCTGACCGAAAGGCATTTGAAGGTTGCAGTATGAGAAGTGTATAAGCACGGTTAAAAGCATCTGAGCAACATTCCCATCACTTCGTGAGAGGATCATTTATCCAGCATGTGTAGAAACACAGGCAGGCTAAACGGCATTAGCCAGACCGAACGGTGACGAAGATTGTAAAAGGGGACAAGGAGGCTGACACGTGGCGAGCCGGGCCATGCCTCTCACACACGGCCTTGCACAACACGGGAGGAAGTTCGTCCCGCTTTCCGTGAGGGATTCCGTCACCAGGAACTTCCCACACATTTACAAGGCTCACACAGAGACGCTAACAAGCTGCAAGGTTATACATTAGCTTCCCCCTGGTGAATTGTTCTCCTGCCTGTATCTTAAAATATTGCCGCTTCTGTGATGACTTGTACCAACCTAAACTCACCTGCCATTTTCTTCGTCAAAGGCAATGTCTCCACAGTCATGATATGCTACTGAAGGACCCCATACATATAAACCGATTGCTTACGTAAACCCAAGCCTGTGACCATGTAAAGACATAGGCAACGTTTATATCACGTTCAGTCCAGAGAACATACTTACAGGGACATTAAAATACACTATTTATGTGTTTGCAACCAGGCTCTAATGACTCAACTACTGTTCAGCTGGCTGCCCAGCAGCTCCCATAAAAGTGAGATGAGGAATGCCTTACAGATGAGTCTATCAACATGTCTGAGATATTTTACTGATAATACATTTTGGAAAAGAAAAAAAAAACCACAATGTATTAGTGAAGCATTACAAGCTACTGGGAATAACATGTAAACAATTACATTTCTTTTTGATTTTAAATCCTTACTTAAAACTTATTTTGCAGCAAAATTTTATTTTCATTTTTAACAATAATTTTTTCACGTTTTCTTTTTCCTTATCCTTTCCTTTATAAATTATTTAACGGAAGAAATATCTTTTGTTCTAAATTTTGTAGCCTGTGAATTGATATCATTGCACGAGGGACATGTGACACCTTTACTCAAGTGAAACAGTAGTTCAAACTTCAATCTGACAAATGCACGTATTTAACTTCCAGTACACGGATAACCACTGTGACTTCAACAGATGGCCTGAACACTTGCAGAAGGAGGGCCAAACCCCAAAACAGCCTACTTTCTTGACTTTGCCATCTTCCATGCAGACAGCAAGAGGTGCATTAAGAAACAACAATGAAGAGTTAGAAAAATCCAAACACACCAAACTCATCACCAAGCATCTCTCTAGCACCCATTCTGCAGAGCAAGAGGTTCCATCACCTACTTTTTTGGTTCTGGGAAAGGCAGAGCAAACATATGTGGAACAGGCACCAGTCGTACAACTTGATGCGCTGCTGGGGTAAACTCAGCAGCCTCGTCGGCACACGCACAAGATGAGAACTGCAGAGAGCGTCGCTCTATTCACTGTGCATGGCAGTCCTGGGTAAGCAGTGAACATGATTTACATTACTCAACCGGCATGTGCCTCACGTCCAAGTTTTAAAGAGAATTGCTCCTGTGTGTGTCCTGGAAAGAGCCAGCACAGAAACCTGAGACTACACAGGATCTGCGTTCAACTGCATATGAAAGGTGAATGGTTAAGTTGTTGTTTTATAAAGAGAACCATTTACCAGCCAAAATTAATAACAAAATGTGCATGAATATAAAAATGACAATCTAGCATATTTTAAAGCAAAATATTTAAAAATAATTTCCTCCTCTTTTTTTTTTTTTTTTTAACCGGCCAAGTCCTAAGTATACTTGCCTCTATTTGTTTTAGGTGACTGAGATTTCATTGGCTGCTTGGGGGGAAGCACAGACTCCTGAAAATAGGTCTTGGCAAAGAAACAGAAGAGGAAATGATTTTTAATTAGTTTGTTTTTTCAGAAAAAGTAGCATATTTGCAGTCTGTGCCCACCCCTAATATTATTTTTATAATAATTTCATTCCTTAAACTGTGACTTCAAGAAAGAAGTTCACCGGGCACCTTCAAACAAATTTGGAGAGGTTACTTGGACAAGTTGCCTGACTGAGATTATTTCCCTTCCTTTCCTATCCTATTCCATCCCACCCTGTCCTATGCCTCACACCCTTTGTACACTACGGCCTTAACGGGACTCTCTCATGGTCCTTAATACTCACTTCATCTGTGCCTGAAAATGGATAAATTCTAGCACATAAAGCCACACGCATGTTTTTTGCTCCTATGCTTTAAAGAATTTCTTAACACTGGACCGTATCCTGCACAAATAATTCCATTGACTTTGCTGGAAGTAATCATGTCAGGCAGGTGGGATACACGCTGTTCAGTATTCTATTCTCCCGACATAAGGAAAGTATTTTATTTTATTTATAAGGGAAATATATTATGAGAGAGCACCTGAATTCAATGCAAGGGCAGAATACTGTGCCCACGGAATCACAAGGCGAAGCACTTGCGTTGAGGATGTGCTGCGAGGAGTGTGCGTGTACCCAAACACTGTCCTACCTCTGAGATTCCTCTCGAAATCTGGGGAGATAAATAGAGGTGCCTCCCAGGAGACAGCCCAGTTAACGCAGTTTTGGACCCTCATAAATGACTGAAACCAATAAACTTTTCTGATGACTTGTCTCTTGAATGGATTATTGTTCTGCATGTTATGAACACAATTCAAAACAATGAATTATTTTTTAATATTTGTCTGAAAAAAAGTCATTAGACTTGAGACCATGCGACCAGCTCTGCTTCAGGTACTCACTCTGCATGGAGTCCTGCTGAGGCCCTTCCCAGCTGTCAGTCCTGAAGTGTTTTAGCCTGCCCATCACCTAACACGTCTGCGTGACTCCCAGGGTTTACTCCTGCACTTCCGAAGGTTTCCTCACGAGCGTCAAACCTAGAGGGAAGGAGCTGCTTGCTGCCCAGTGGCCTTCGTAGTGATTCAGAGGAGCAGAGGTGCTGGCAGTGGTGTGCCAAGACCCGTGTGATGTATCGAAGCACAACGGACAAGATCATTTGCTAGAGGGAAGCAAAATAATGGTCTGAGGCTGAGACTGGGTAAAAGAAATTCCTTGTGTGTTAAATCTGGCTCTGCATCATTTAGCTCTGTGGCTTTGGACAAATAACTTATAGTACCAGAGCCCTAAAATGCCATTCTTGTTACTTATTTTTTGATTGCTGTAGCCCTGAAGAGACACTAGTCAGGGATCAAGAACCAGTTGTGCGAGGCATGGTATTAACACAGAACAAAACCACCACTCCTGCCCCAAAAAGCAATAGAACAATGGTTCTTGTAAAACAGACTTTCCTTTCCTGCAAAGACGTATGGGATTTCATGCATCCAGGGCTTTAACCTGTTGATTCAGTTTTCCCAGCTGCAGCTATTGCATCCTTAAAACTCCCACTCATGTTAGCCAGAACCTATATTACCTAGTAATTATTATAAAGCAATAGAAAAATGAAAGCAAAATTTTATGTATGATTTGTATTATGTATTTGATACTTAAGGTACCAAGTTGAGGTTGCTGCAACCATTCCAAAGCTTACTTTGCTTTGCTTTCTCTTTTGATATTAACTGAGAGCTTGAAGCAGCTGTCTGCCTTTGTTGTATTATTTAATTATTTGCCAGTTCTGTTTGTAAAAAAGCATTTTTAAAGACTCTGAAAGAAGTTAGAAACGCTTCTAACTAGAAGAAATTTCACTAAAAGTATCCCAGACAAATTCTCTGTTCTCATATACACTAACAGGTACATTCAAATACGTAATTCTTGAGTTATCTTGTATCTGCTTGATAACATACCCCACAAAATTCCACAATTCCACTATTTTTTACACATTTCTTATAGAAGAAAGATGTACTGGGAGAATGGGAACCTTTACTAGATGGATTGACTACAAAACCTCATCTTCTCAGCTTTTCAGATTAAGATCATTTTCAAGGGAGCAAGGCTGCCGAGCAGACACGCAGACAGTTGATAAACACTCCTCAGGTCAAGAACATTCATCTGCTTTTGGAAAGCTCTGGTGAGCTCATTTCAGAACTGAGAAGCATTCGTTTTTCAGTATATTTCTGGGAACTCCTTTCCTCTTTCCCATGAAGTTTTCGGTAATTTCAGACTTGTGTTTTTCTTCTGGTGTATCAGACCTCAACAACAACAGTAATTTACCATATTTGATCTCACATGTTTGGCAGTGGTGTTGGACTATGGTATATTGTACAAATACAGTATTGTGCAAATACATGTGACAGCAAATGTAATCTGATATTGTGTAAAAGCAGTATTTTTTAGTCTGACTTAAATCACTCACAGATTGTAAAGGCTTTTTTTGTTTGTTTTCAAGGCGACCGAGCCCCCTGTATCAGGTATCTAATCAGTAAGGTATATGAGGACCTTTGGCAGCACTACCAGTTTCCAAAGTAGAGAGAATTAGGCAGTTTAAACCCTGTGAATTATGAAGTTGGTGTAGAAAGAAAACCTTAAGTACAGCAATCAAAAGCTGGAAAGTCAAAACTACACCAGCTAAAGGATGACATACTTTTGTGCCTTTAATTAAGGAACTCAAGAAAAAAATTATGCAATGTCTTATTCTTTTAATTGTTTTCCTATAAATTAGATTAGCTACTTTGGCAAATACTAAGGGAAATTAAGTTCTTCAGCAAGATCACTGTTTCCCTTGCTGTCCCTTTTTGGCTATTTGACACATCATAATAAATTCCATAATAAAACATGTCACCAAGTTGCACTCCTGAGAACAACACATTCTAATAGAAGTTGAAATTTAGTAAAACAATAAAGAATTGTGGTTAAGGGAGTCATGTTTTGCAAGGGGCTAAAAGATGCACTGTCTTTAACAGAGAACCTCTGCGTGTTTCCCTAAGTAACGGTATATTCGTGAATCAGAGCCTTCGGTAGACAACGGCATAGCTCAAAAGGAAAGGAGTGGAAGATGTGGCCAAAATACCATAATGCTTTCCAATGAATCAATGGAATCACCTCCTAGGGAATATGGTATACACCAGTAAAGCCACATGATATCAAAATATACTTGAGGTCAGAGATTATTTTCCTATTCTGAGTTTGTAAAAAAGCCTAGTACAGTGAGGTCTCGCTGCCCTGTGTAGGTTAATAATAATGAAGGTTACTGGAAAATCACAGCAAGGCTTAGAGGAGGCCAAAAAGAATGAGGAAGGCCAGGACTCATCTCTCAATATATACTAAGGACCTTAGGAAGGACAGAATAATAAGGAGGGAAATGACAGAGGTACATTATAATTTATTTATTACATTTCTCATCTTCTTTGTGCTACATAGAGAAAGGAAGTAAATAACTCAGTTGAAAGAGGGGATGCTCAAAACTGAGATGTGGAAATGCTCTTTTGAGCATACAATTATATTAAGTCACTCTATCAGCTTGGAAAAATGTAAGAAAAAGGAAGCAGATATTTAACATGTAGAGAGAGCCAGGAAAATCATGG